AGACTACTGAATATAGGAAAACAAAAATAACAGCCAACGTACACAGAGGGTAAAACAGCTTTGAGTTCAAACACAGATGTGTTAAAATTACCTAATACCCCAATATAGTAGGTTCTCTCCTCCTCCCTCTTTGCATTAGGATTCAGGTGCTTCCTAGCTTGATGGCTTTTGTTCACTTGCTTTTTTTTTTTTTGGGGGGGGGGGGGGGGGGACTAATCCTAATCCTTTTTATACTGTATGGTTACATCATAAACTGTACAGTACATGGTTGCATTTTCTCACTATGCCTTGCATATGTACCTTTTTGTAATACATCATATGATGACACATGTACCTAGTGTATTGTTTTGTTTTTCTACCTAGTTAATATAAACCTATCTAACAGCTTTATCTACCTTTTGGTGTGCTTTCTCTGTATTTACTATAGTCCTGTTGACAGATTGATATGATTTGTGTGGGTTAATGCACCCTTGATTTTGACAATTATGTATGCTTTCATGAACTAGGTGGTGTGAAGATATGAATTAAAGTGTTCCTAATCCCAGGACCCTGCATTTGCTATATCTGGGCTTCCACAGTACACTGAACATGGAAGTGCAATTATTTTAGTAAATATAAACTGCTAAATACATTTTCTCATCAGCAGTTAGAGTAGTCTTGTGACTTCTGTCAGTGTTCGGCAGAGCACTGGTTAAAGCTTGTAGGAGGAGTTTTTATTTTGCTCTAGGAGGATGCAGAACCCCTGACCTCTGTCTGTACAGCGCTGACAGCCCTGTGCTGATCACATGCACTCTCTCAAGAAAAAAAAAAAATCTCTAGCAAAAACACACCAAACTGAGCATGTGCAGAGTGACTCCACATGATATGTCTTATCAAGAGGGGAACCCTGGAAGGGGGGGGTTTACAGAAGTCAGGATCAAACATCATTTTTATACAATGCAGAGATTAAACCCCTTAGGTTCCACAGCAAGTAAATCAAGCATGCTTTACTGCATGTAAAGACTGATTTTACTGTTGTGGGTTAAGTAACACTTTAAAAACTATAGGAACCTTGGCTAAGTCACAAACTGTACACAATGATTTAACAGTTTCTGTTCATGTGGTGAAACAAGAGCCAAAAACCATTCACTAAGGTATTAAAGCGGAGTTCCACTCACTCTGTAAAAAAATAAAAGTCAGCAGCTACAAAAACTGTAGCTGCTGACTTTTAAAAAACAGCCACTTACCTGTCCCACGATCCCACAGTGCCCCTGCCGCAGCCCGTTTCACCGGCCGTGTATTCCGGCATCTTCAGTGTGGCACCCAGCTCTGGCAGCTTGCAGCTTCACAGCCGGGTGCCCACTGCACATAAGCAAGTAGCGCTGCGCATCCTGAATGGCCCCATCGTCTTCTGGGACCTGTCACCTGTCCCACAAGACTACGGGGAGGGAGGGTAGGAGGACAACTTCCTCTTCCGATCGCCAAGGTGATGATCAGCAAAAGTGGGAGCGCGTACCTGTCAATTTCGGGTACCCGCTCCCCCCCGCTCCAATCTTTAAAGCGGAACTTCCACTTTTGGGTGGAACTCTGCTTTAAGGTGTACCTTTTGTTTTAAGAAGGCTAACCTTTTGAAGCAAGAACACCTTTTGTTTTCTCCCCTGGCTGTTTTTAAGAAGGCTAACCTTTTGAAGCAAGAAAAGATTTCTTAATATATAACCATGATGTATATAAAAAGGCTGAACCAACGTATCATCATTTAAAACATAGGTGATGCCATTCTTGGTGCTTTCATTTTTAAGATAATGCTTCTCCCCTGGCTGTTACATTTATGTCAAGTCAGTAACCAGTTATTATCAGTCAGTAACCAGTGAAGGTGACACTCAAGAATTGTTATGAAGCCAGGGGATGAGTCTAACAGCCAAGAATCTTTACTGCAACTTCTACAATTCAGCAATGATAGCAAACATATTTCTGCGCACGGAGGCTGCTTTCTTTGCAAAGTTCTCATGAAATCTTTTTTTCTCAGCAGTCACACGGGGACTTCTCTCCACTCTAGTGGTTCTTATGCATACAGTTGTGAAAGTCCAGCATCTTCTTTCTGCCCACTGAAAATGCGTTTCAACAGTTTTTGCTTGAAATTTGCGAATGATCTTTCAGGTGTCTCTTGTATGTTTACATTTACAATTAAAAAACTTGTTGTCAGACAAATAAACTTTCAGTTACCATGAAATAACCACCAAATGTCTAGAAGGAGCTGTGTCACAGCTTAAAGTGTTTTCAAAGACAGGAGTGGTTTACACTCCCTTGACACCCCTCATTTGGGTAGTTACAACGTCCCAACTGAATTTTCAGTGTCACCAACCTTGCCACCACAACTGTATATGTTCCCCACTCACAGGATTTACACTCCCTGCCCCCTCAGCCAACTGTAGTGTCACCATGGCGAGGCATAGCATCACACTACATTCAGATGTGCAGAAGCAAAATATGCCACACACAACCCACACTGAAGCTGGAGACATAAAAGTTGAAAGACAACTTTTCCCCAACTCTGCTTTAGTAAACCAGGTAGCGTTTGGAACCAGCTTCTAGAAAAGTAGAGAAAACTAGCTGCTAGTAAATGTCTACTTTCCATTCTATAGTACAACTACTGATAGACTTAAAATAAGCATACTAGCATTACCCTTGTACACTATAGTCCCTTATATCTTATTATATCTTATCTTATTTATTACATTTCATTGGCATTGAGTTCCATTTTTACCAGCCTTACTTGGAAGAAGACACTGACCAGGTCAATTCTAAATGTGGAACCTGCTATTGTATAAAACTGATAATGTATTGTATTACTGACAGACAACAATGTCATATTCAGGTAGCCTTACTTGTGTGTGGCATCCCTGACAGCCCTGACATTCTAGAGTGTGACTTCAACTTTGTAGGAATCTGTCCTGTGCTGTGCTGTTCAATGCACAGAGATGAAGATCACTAGGCTACTGTTCAGATAATTTGATCCTGATATCTTTGTGTTGGTGGCCTTTGGACGACTGCTATGTACCACCCAAAACCCAGATTTCACCTGATTCTGTTAAAATTACAGTGAATGATAATTCAATATCAAATAAGTTGTTTTCAGCACTGATTTATTAAAGTGCCAGATCTCAGGGTGGGGCACTGTTCGTTCTGTTCTCAGCTAAGAGCTCATGTACACTGCAGCTGATAAACTCACGTTTAGGAGCTGTTCAGCATTTTTTTTTAGCAGCCCCTGAACTCTCCCTAATGTTTTCCTATGTGTCCATGTACACATCTTCATTTACAGTCATTTACAGGCATTTGAGTTTACAGTCGTTTTTTTGAACGCAGAAAACTTGCATTCAGCAGTCGATTTTATCAGTGTTTCAAATGCAAAATGCGGCTAAACACGGCTAAACACGGCAAATCGCGTTTATAAGCGTTTGCATATGATATATTTTTTTAACTCTTCCAGTTCCCAATGCTGTTCAGAACCTTTTTAAATCATGAAAAATGCATGCGTTTTCAAGGTACTCAGATGGACAAAACACTTAACACAGGATGTTCCTGATGTTCAGCAGCCCCTGAACTCTCCCTAATGTTTTCCTATGTGTCCATGTACACATCTTCATTTACAGTCATTTACAGGCATTTGAGTTTACAGTCGTTTTTTTGAACGCAGAAAACTTGCATTCAGCAGTCGATTTTTATCAGTGTTTCAAATGCAAAATGCGGCTAAACGCGGCTAAACACGGCAAATCGCGTTTATAAGCGTTTGCATATGATATTTTTTTTTAACTCTTCCAGTTCCCAATGCTGTTCAGAGCCTTTTTAAATCATGAAAAATGCATGCGTTTTCAAGGTACTCAGATGGACAAAACACTTAACACAGGATGTTCCTACCAAGCTTGTCACACATTGTAATGACCAATTCACACCTCAGACCTCTCCCACCCTTGGAAACAATATTCCTCATGAAGGCCTCCTGCCAGGTGACCTTAATGACTCACTCCACTAGACACCTATTCCACCCTTGGAAACAAAATAAATGTTAATGAGCAACTCCCACCTAATTATCTCAACACATACTGCTGTCTCTGCTTCTACTCTGTGTATTTATTTGAAACAGTCTGAAATAGTTAATAATTTACCACTTTTCAGTGCATTCTGGGCATTTGGGAGGTTCTCCTGTGCTTATCTTTAAAAAACACTTCTAAACGCAAATGCACATAAATGCGCATAAACGCATGTTTTCCAGCAGTCAGTTTACATCGTTCAGAAGTGTCTCGTGTACAAGGCTTTCAAAAAAGTAATCATTAATTGTCCAAAGACAGTGCAGAGGTTAGGTTAAAGTTATCATAGTGATACATATTACTACCTGATTGTACAATCCCCTTAAGATTTACCAAAACTGTGAGACCTATCTAAACAATCCAGACAGTATACTATTAGGCAGCCCTTGTACAAAATAGACATTGGCAGATAGAAATGAGATTGTACAATCAGATTGTAATCTGTATGGTCAGTTTTGAGGTAAACCCAAAAAACAAAAATGTAATAAACTGCAGCTTTCACATCCTTATATGTGGTGGCTGCATTAGTTTTCTTTATTCATGGTTCTTTCCCCTTCATTTTTATCTGATGATTCTGCCAGTAACATACTTCATGTCCTAGGGCAGTGATGGTGAACCTATGGCACGCGTGCCAGAGCTGGCACGCAGAGCCATCTCAGTGGGCACGCCAGGAGGAAGAGAGGAAGAGGAAGAGAACGCACTCTCCTGCGCACCTCCGGGGGCGCGCACCGGGCGATCTCCGTGATCGCTGTGTCCTGCGGACACAGCTGATCACGTGACATGGTAAAAGGCCAATCACAGCGGCCTTTTACCACGTGATCAGCCCTGTCCAATGACACGCTGATCACCGGGAAATGCAAATGCCGGTTCTCGGCTGCACTTTCCTCACGCTGTCAGATCGTGAGGAAAGTACTGCCGAAAACCGGCAGTTGTCAGAACAGGGATCGGCACCGATCATCAGGGTCACTGATCATCAGTGCCCTGATGATCGGTGCCCACCTGTGCCACACACAAGTTCCGCCCACTTGTGTGCCCACCTGCAATGCGCCCACCTATGCCCAGCAGTGCGCCCACCTGTGCCCAGCAATGCGCCCACCTATGCCCAGCAGTGCGCCCACCTGTGCCCAGCAATGCACCCACCTGTGCCCAACAGTGCGCCCACCTGTGCCCAGCAATGCACCCCCAGTGCCCAGTGCCCACCTGTGCCACCCACCAGTGCCCATCAGTGCAGCCCAGCAGTGCTGCCAGTCAGTGCCACCAGTCAGTGCCCAGCGGTTGTGCCAGTCAGTGCCCAGCAGTGATGTCAGTCAGTGCCACCTATCAGTGCTGTCTATCAGTACCCATTATCAGTGCCACCTATCTGTGACACCTCATTAGTGCTGCCCATCAGTGCCACCCATCAATGATGCCCAGCAGTGCCGTCGGTCAGTGCCGTCTGTCAGTGCCTCCAGTTGGTGCTGTCAGTGCCGCTTATCAGTGCCCATCATTTCCTGCATATCAGTGCATCATCAGAGCCTCCTCATCAATGCTCACCAGTGCCGCCCCATCAGTGCTACCTATCTGTGCCGCCTCATCAATGCCCATCAGTGCTGCCTATCAGTGCAGCCTCACCAACGCACATCAAAGAAGAAATATTACCTGTTTGCAAAATTTTAGAATAGAAGCAAAGGAAACCTTTTATGTTTTTAATTTTTTGCTCTTTTTTCATTTATAGTGCAAAAAAAATAAAACACCCAGTGGTGATTAAATACCACCAAAAAAAGCTCTATTTGTGTGAAAAAATGATAAAAATTGCATATGGTTACAGTGTTGCATGACCGCACAATTGTCTTTGTTAAGTGCAACAGCACTGAAAGCTGAAAATTGTCCTGGGCAGGAAGGGGGTAGAAGTGCCCGGTAGGCAAGTGATTAATTCCAGTGTTGGCACTTTGAAATAAAAAAGTTGGTTTTGTGTTGCAGTTTGGGCACTCGGGCTCAAAAAGGTTCGCCATCACTGTCCTAGGGTGACACCCTAGGTTGTACTCCCGATTTTGACTACAAACACCTTCCTCCCCTTATTACACAGGAAAAGGATTTTGTAGTTCATTGGAAAGGTGATTTTCAATTTCAGTTAGTGCCAAGAAAGATTGGGTATTAGGTTATGTTTTAGGGCTTGGTGTTCTCAATTCATTTTAAGGGTTAAGATATGGTCAGGTTATGTTTAAAATGTTAAATTTCAGGACTAGGTGCAGCATTAAGTAGATCTTTCCCCTCTTTCAGTAAAACTCATATCAGCCTGCAGGCTTTGTATGCTGATGTGAAATCACCAACCATTCATTTTTATTTCTTTATTTTTAAGCTTTTATTTACTTTTTGTGTTTTCACTTCTTGGATTCCTTGAAGCACCAGTGAGAAAGCCCTTGTCTCACAGCTGCATCCTGAAAAGGCAATGTCACCAGTTTGTTCAGGGAGATATTGTTCCTAAAGTGCAAGATGCGCGCAAGTTGAAGTGCATGATGCTATGCACCTCATCTAGTGCATGTGACGTACAGCATTACATTCATCTGTTGGTTAAAAATAACTCTTCACTTCCCAAAGGTCTCATGAGATTTTTTTCAAGATAAATGTAATGTTGTATAGCGCATGTGATGCTGCATTTTGTGCTTATAGTATACAGTAGTACAATACAATGAGCTGAGGCACAAATGTCATTGGTGGGCCAACATGGAAGCAAGGAAGAAACCAGCCACCAATGACATTAATGTTGAAAATGGCAAGTGGGAACAGGCAGCACAGACATTATGAAAAGGCTACTCATGAAGAAAATGGTGCATAGACATATGTTACACACCTACTGCATAAAATGTTGGCGGTTTTGAAAGAGGGGGGAAGAGGTCTGGTTTAAGCATTAGTGGGAACAGTAAGTGTTACAGGTTAATTTGAATGGGTTATATATTATTGTAATAACATGCTTTTACTTGTTTTCTGGACTGAAAATGAGTCTGATGCCTATGGGCACTTTAAGCTTTGAGCAATTCTGTGATGACAGGACATGATACTTGTTGCTGACTAATGCTTGTCTTTCCTTACATAGCATTTTATAACATTTGCATACTGTCTGAACAGCAGAGGTATATTACCTATTTAAACAAAAGGCTTACTACTTATTAAAATGTATATACCACATTCTACTTGTGCAGTATTCTCTGTAAGACATCAGTTTCATCCAAATCTAAACTCTATTATGTTATGCTTAATATATTCATACAGGATGTTTAAGTTGCACTGGGGGGGGGAGGTGGAGCTGCACATTAAATGAAAACAGCAATCAATCACTCTGTCAAAAACTATCCCCATATTTTGCCTGGCTAGTGCACCAATGTGAATAACAATAGGCTTTTTCAGCATGAACCAGGAACACAGTGGAGGGACATACTTTCCCCAGGCTAGATTTAAGTATTCAAATGCGCAGACACAATTAGACATAGAACTCAGTGGGGTGGCAGTTCCATTTCTGACATTTCATTAGCATTTGACTAAACTCCAACAGCTGTAACAATGAAATCTTTAGAGTACATAAAAAAAAATTTGTATTTTCCTGAACTCTAAACTGTACTTTGATCTAAAACAAAGCATTTTTTTGCCATGCCTTGGTATTGATATTCTTAGCATCATTCTGTTGTAAGTGCATTGGACTACTTATGATATCTGCTGGAGTTATTGTAGTCACAACTGGATTGAGTAAATAAAGCACAAGTGATTTGGTTCTATTGTCTTTTTTAATGGAAGCCTTTCTAATGTCAAAGCTGTTTAAAATGTACTATGCCTTCTAATACCTATTTCATGAAATTAGATTTTAATGGGATGGAATGACTCGGAGAAGAAAACATATATATTAGTGTTTGTGTTCCTAAATGAAAAGGAATCTGTTTTATAAGCAATTTTCTTTGGGAATTGTAATTGTGAAGGCAGCATTGCTCTGTGCAATGTAGAATAATAAAAAATTAATCTTTAATGAAGGAGTTAAACAAAAAATTAGGTCAGAATCTGAGAGCAGCAAAATAATTGGAAAATTAACACTCGTTGCTTTCAAGAGCAGAGGCCATATAGTTTTTTGTGCTGTTATGACTGTTCACTAAAACAGTGTTTCTCAACCTTCAGTCAAGGTACCCTTTAAAATTATGGACAATCTCAAGGCACCATTTAAAATTGTGGACAGTGTTGAGGCACCCCATTCTAAAATGTAAAAAAACTATTCTACTAGTTTTATATAATGCAGAGACATCCACACATGTAGGACTCCCAACATTAGAGGTGATTTATTCTTCCAAATCAAATACACTTTTGCACACTGCTACTGACTAGTATTCCAATGTTTCTCTTCTCCATCACTGAGCTAAAGTGACCCCAGTGCTGATGGAGAGGGGCAGGGGAGGGGTAAAGAAGGATGCAGTGCAGACGACCAAGATCCTCCATATTAACTGATGATGTCATTGGCTGTTGGGATGCTGGTGACTAGGTCGTAATGGTGCACAATGAAAACCTGTGGCTTCATGTAACTAAAAGGCAGGCTTGATCCACCTGCTGGCTTGTTTACAACTGCAATTTTTAGGCATTTTGCCAAGGCACTCCTGAAGAAACCTCAAGGCACCCCAGGGAGCCTGGGCACCCTGGTTGAAAGTGTTTTTTCTTTTAATCTGCAAGAGAAATGGGGCTGGAAAGGAAAAGCTACAGTTATCTACCCCTATCCTTATACAAGGATAGTGGGACACACAAGGCTAAAAGATTCCCTCCATTGATCAGTTATCTCAATTGGTACATGTTTATCATTGCAATGTAAGGCTGACCATACACTATACAATATGTACAATTTCCTTCAGGTCTACAATCCACTATGTAGTGCAAGGGTCTGTCTGATTTGATACAAATTGAATGGATTATTTAGATTGTAGTTTTGGTAAAGGAGACTGTACAAAGATTGTACAAACAGACTGTATAGTGTATGACCAGCTTAAGGCACGGAACTGACCATTATCTTTGCTCCTGCCACCAAAAAATCAGGCATTGCAAAAAATCCCATGTAAAGTGCAAAAAGGCACAACACCTATCAATTTTCACATATGTTCTTGTAACTCAAAAATCAGGCATTATAAAAGACTCAGCCTTAGTACCTAACTGCGTGTCTAATGTACCTTTAAATAGTTCATTCGGGCCAGGCTGGTCCAAACAAACTATTTTCTACACTAACAGGTGTGCTTGCTGGGCACGCAGTATTAACTGTATGTAGCCTCAGCCTCAGTGGAACACAGACCTCCACTCCCGGAACAGAATAAAGTCAGGATGAGCACTGCTCTACCATTCTTTGTAAGATTTGTATTCTATGAATGTACACAAAGCTTCCTCCGATTGGCTGGATAGTGGGCGGATGATGATCTCTGACTAAGCCAATCAGAGGAAGCTCTGCATTTATTTATAGAATACAAAAGCTTTTTATAAATGGCTGAGCAGTGTTCAGACCAACTCTATTTTGTTCTGAGACAGGAAGTCTCTATCCTACTGCTGCAACACAGTGCTGCATACTGTATGTAGCTGAGGCTAAATACAGCATGCCAGCTAGCACACCTCTTTGGGCCAGCTTGGACCAAATTAACTATTTAAAGGGACATTAAACAGTGAGTTAGGCTTTAGATGTTCTAAGAGCATATCAAGAAAAAAAAAGGATAAAAAAGGTATTGAAAGCACCAAAGGCAACCATATCATACCATAGCATGTACCTCATTCAACTATATGTATCAAGATGGTGGTCATAATTCTAAACTGGCCCAGAACTTTAATAAAGTCACTTAAAGGTCACAACAAGAAGGGAAAATTGAATGTAATAAGCATGCATTACCACGCTCACAAAGACCCGCAAGTCATGAGCATGTTATCCTATGGTACATGGCCAGCCAGTTAGATCACTGCTAACCCTGTTTGTATTCAGCTACAACTGTAATGTTTTCATATACCTTTGAGTACAGGCCCAGCTTATGTGCTGTTCTTAAGGTCTCACACTTAGGCAGTCAACTGCTAATGCTTGATGTCAGGGTTCATTTTCTCATGGAGTGGGGAAGTTCAGGTAAATATACATCTTACTGTTGTCCCTGTCTTTCTTA